CCCAATTTGTAAGACCCAGTGATTAAGAAAGTATGCTTAACCTACCTGATCAAAGAGGTGCCTCAATTTCCTCTTTCCTACAAAACTGAAATTTTAAAACTCCCGTTCCCTTTCTCATTCCCATTTTCTACAGCTCAATGTGATTGTTCACTCCTTCCTTGCTTCACACAATAAATGATGCTCGACCCCAGGTATCCCAGCCCCCTGCACAGTACAAGGTGAAAACTGCAGGCAGCAGGTGCCCTACCCTCGTGGTGCTCAGTCTACCATCGTCGGTTATTTTAGGAAATTATCTCATGAAAACAACAAATTCCTGATTAAAGCCACTATATTTCATACAGATGACAACCTGATGAGGCTGATAGTTTCTATTGAGAAGTCAGGACATCTCATCACGGTAAGATCTTCCTCAACCCAGTAACATGGCCTGTGTGCTGAAGGAAAGCAGGGCTCAGGGGAGTCAAGATGCTGGAGTTCTCCCCCAGGCCCAGCTTCCTGTGTGACCCCTGATTTGAACCAATTAATGAGAATCCCACCTACCCTTGGTTTAGAGCTAAGTACTTTACATGCATTATCATCAAAACAACCCTGAAGAGAGGAGGAACTAGGACACCATGTTATAAATAATAAAATATGCTGAGACAAGGGAGGTAAGCTGGCAGGTCTTGTAAGTAGTGGGCCCAAGACACATAAGCCTATTTGAGTCCAAAGTACACAAGAATTATATAGACTCAAAGAACTGTACAGATTCAAACAAAGTTTCCTCCAAAAGCTAACACTGTGTGACTCCACCGGACAGAATGTCACCTTCTCATTTTATAGGTCTGGAGGCCCAAAAGTAAAGTGCCTTGTTTGAGAACTAAATCTTATTATTAAATCGCCACCTCCAAGTTTTCAGTCCAAGCAAAGCTCACCAAGATACCCCATTAGCTTCTCATATACTATTTCCCTCGCTCCCTATAAAATGGAGATCATCCACTTTTCTCAAACAGGTTGTGGTAAAACATACACATCAAAATGAGGGTTGCCTGGGTGGCTCAGTCAGTGAAGTGTCCAACTTCAGCTCAGGTCATGATCTCATGGTTCTTGAGTCTGAGCCCCACATCGGGCTCCACATTGATGGGTGTGAAGTCTGCTGGGGAATCCCTCTCTTCCTCTCCCTCCCTCCTTCTCTCCCTCCCTCCCTCTCTCTCTCTCTCTCTCTCTCTGCTCCTTCCCCACTTGCGCTTTCTCTCTCTCAAAGATAAATAAATAAACTTAAAAAAAAAAAAAAAAGAAATGGCCCAAGATCTGCAGTGCTACTTCAGGCAGGTTACTGATTATCTCAGTGTCTCACTTCTCGTTTGTAAATGGGGACAATAAGAGTGACAACTTCAGTGTTACGACAATTAACAATGGTTGGAACACAGTAAGCGCTCAACAAATGTCCACTATCATCATAAACTTCCTCTAAATTCAAGTGTCTGTAACCCAATACCTTAGGAACAAACAAGCAGCTAAAGACCACAGAAGACATCTTGGTAATTTACGTACCCAACACACTTGTTCACAAATACAATTTTTTAAACGAAGAACTAAAAGTAAAATTGAAAGGATTAAAAAGTTGCCTCTCTCCACTGGTCTACCTTAGCCACAATAAACCCAGGCTCCAAGCACACCTCAATTAAGGAACAGTCACTGGCAGTGCCCTGCTCTCCTCAGCCTTTCACACCTCTGGAGAGTGTGCATAAACAGTCTTCCTGCTTCAGAGGGCTGTTCTGAGAATAAACTGTTATAAATGCCCTTTGTAATCTTTTGACAATGGTGCTACATAAGCACACATTATTGTAGGCATTATAAATTAAGTATGTGGTTACACATGACAATACAAGAAATGCCTGAAACATCTTTCTGTTCCTCAGCATCCAATTAAATTACCATTTCCCCTAAGAAAGAATTCTGTTGCATTAGCCCATAAAAATGACACCAGCACTGACACCACCCCACCACCCCCCCCCCAAGCCGTTCAGTATGTGCCACACACTGTCATAGCACCTAATAACTCACTTAATCTTCATGGCAACCCTGTATTATTATCTTTCCACTTTACAGATGAAGAAACTGAGGTAAAAGGACACGAACCTAATAAGCTGCAAAGCTGGGATGTGAACCCAAGTAATGGGACTCCAGAGAACCTGCTGTTAATCCACACAACACCATGAGCTCCAAAAGCAACGTCTCTCTTCATAACCACCCTCTCCCTGCTCTTAATCACAACACCGTGGCCTCCAAAAATAAATTCTGTCTTCATAACCACCACCCCTGCCCTACAGAATGTACCTGTACCTAGTAACGCAACTGCTCTTGACATTTCAGTAACAATAAAGCATCTGGTTTAACCGCTCTGGTAACCGTGATTCTCCATGAGGACAGGCCTCCCCTATATTTACATAACCCCACTCCTTCGAAACCTTATGCTGGTGTTCAAGAAAGTGATGAATGAATTAATTAAATGAGTGTTACCACTGAGCATCTTATCTTCCAAGGAGACTGACTCTTTTCATACTTTTTTTTTCACTTTAATATGAACCTGCATTTATGGGTTAATGTTTTGCTTTTGTTTTCTTTCTAAGCAAAACTAATCTTATTTTCTCTGCTCAGGCAATACATTTCATTAATTACTAATTCAACAGACCAAAGAAAAACAGGCTATTCAGCTGTCAGATCACACAAGACCTTTTTAATACTTCAGTCTCGTGGAAATTTTTTAAGCAGAATTTTTTTTAATCCCATTTCTGTTTTAATGACTTAAAAAAAGAAACTGCCCTTATGGGGGAAAGGAGCATATAAAAGGTAATAAACATTTAATGATCCAATAATTGGTTATATCAGAGCAATCACTGTTCAGTAATTAAGTTCTCTTTCGGCCTGTTCACTTGATATTTTCAGCACCTTTGATAGGCCTGGAATTATCCATATTATTTATTTCATAAGCTAAAACCTTTTGGAGGATCCTAAAACCACAACAAGGTTTCCAATCACCCATGTTCACCTTGGTAACTTTCCAATGTGGCATTTTAAAACGCCAACGGATTTGCAAAACCAAGAGCAATCCAAGCCCTCAGCACTGGGTGGGCACCAAAGCAGCAGAAATGACATTACTGCTCAACTGTGGGGGCTGTGGCCGTGGCAGCAAGGAGGGGTTAAAGGAAAACACAACATAAAATTAGAGCTTAAAAGATAGCAAAAAATAATTAAATCACACCACCAGGAAAGAATACAGTGAACAGCTGGTATGTTGTTACTATGCAAAATTACAATTAAGCTTAGGTTAATGTCATTTCCAACTAATTACCCGCAGTCAGTTGGAAGAGACACACACTAAGAGATTTTACATTCTAACACTTCTCCCCACTTACGTGTCCCTGCCAGCCACACAGCTACAAGGCTCCTCACAATTTTTTTAAATGTCACAGCTACACAAGGGCACCCGTTCCACTTCTGTCAAAGGGGTCACCTCTTAGCGGGAGATGTTAGGAGTTGCTAACATTTCAACACCTCCCTGTGGTCACACTTCTCTCCACACAACACTTCCTTCACACCAAAATCATGTTTGTAGTTGTCTTCTCCACAAGCCTCATTTCCTACGTTCCAGTCTCATTCTTTCTCCTCCTACCCTCTCCTTTCCCCGTCCAGACCCTTTCAATGATGCCTCGTATGAAAGGGAAAGCACTGGTCACTTCACAATTGGCGCACTAAGCATCCCTTGTTACTGGGATGCCTGACAGCTTACAGGTAAAGGATTACAAACAACACTTTCTAACTCAGCCGTATTTCTTATCTGCATGCATTCACCTTGGCAAGTCCCATCCCCATCCTGAAAAACAAAGGAAACCCACCAGCCCACTGTGACTACAATTCCTGTCCCTTGACTGTCACTATGGCTATCTGCCCAAATGGTGTGGGTCCCTCCGGTCACTGCCATTTCAAGGGTACTTATACACAAATAAACACAATGGGACCGAGCCTCACAGAGGCTCTGTGGCTTCCACATCTGACACCACACACAGAACTACTTCAACACCAGAAGCATCCTCCCCTGTACAAAAAAGTCAAGCTAATCTGAAAGACCTTCCCGAATCTACTTCTACTAAGAGTTGAAGGGGAGAGACAAAGGTCCCACAACCCCAAAGCAAGAAAGAATCTTCGAATCTAAATCACTCAAGTTCTATTATCCATACACCTTGGGCACTACCCCAATGGCATGCGGCACCAAAGTGCATGACACTACCCCTCCTGCTTCACACGTGCCTGAAAGCAGAGGTCAGATAATTTATGTTACTTGCACCTCTGAGAATCTGCCTGGTGGAGAGGAGAAAAGGAGGGGGGAGGGGAGAAAACGGGCCATAGTTTCTTTGCTACTAATGGACAGATAACTGCAGAGTGCCAAAACAGATTTCAGTTCCTTTGTGCACACAGGAATATTTATTTAATCAATGTACTGTAACAAAACAAGCCTCTGGTGTACTTTTGGAAAGATGGAAAGCCATTCAGGCAGGGTGATTGGAGTCTTGTCACCTGTTTAGTTGATACTGGAGATAACCAGGACGGGGGG